AGCCGAGCGCCGCCTTGGGCACTTCGGCGCGGTGAGGCTGCGAACTGTCGGGAAATGAGCCCCGGCTTCAGGACCGCGGTGGGGGCCGGCCCGACGAGCTGCAGCCTCCTGCGGGGCGTGGGCCCTCGCCCGATCCGACAGTTTCTGGGGAAGGAGCTGCCCACGTGCTCGCCTTTCACCATCTGCCGTTGTCCGAATTCTAAGTCAGAACTCACAGGTAACTTGCTACTGTGTAAAAGAAAAAAGTGTACTTCAAAATGACCCAAGTGTTAGGTTTTATGTTTTGTATGTTTTACCACAGTAAAAATAAAACCGAAAAAGAGGCTTACAAGTGTGCACGCAGCCTCCCGAGGAGCTCTTGGCCCCCCGACCTTGGTCGCGGGCCGTGCACCCTGCCCTTCCGCGGGGACAGCGAAGGCGGAGCCGGCCGGGCCGCTCCTCCGCGTCCAGGACGGACTCCACAATCCTCACTCCAGGAACCCCGAGAGTCGCTTTCCTCTTTCTTTATACGTGATTCCAGAAAGTTAAGTGGAGTAAAGCACCTGGGTTTGTCTAGCTTCAAGAACAGACTATTCTGTACCCATCAGCCGCCCCAAAAAACCTATAAAAAACAAGAATAAACAATTCTTTCTTAGTCCAACATGTCCCTTACCAGAATCACCGTCAAATCCCAACTGTGCCATTCTAGTTAAGGTATCTGGAAATACCAAATCAGGGCTAATTCGATTACAATGTATCATTCTCAAAAAAAATCTAGTTTAAAACCTAGTTATTGTAAGAGGATTATCCTGAGTTAAGTAAACACATGTCTCCTTTCATTCAGTAAATATCAAATACTTATCCTGTGCTGGGCATTCTTTTAAGAGCTGGAACGCATTGGTGAACAAAAGAAAAGTTCAATGGACAATAAAAACAATGAAATATATTAATAATTAATATTTACATAGGTGACCAAACATAGTTACTGGGAAAAGATAAAAGACGGTCAGAGAATGAGGCATGCAGATGCAACTTAAATAGGGTGGTGTTTGCACATATCCTTGAAGGAGAAGGATCCTGTGAGGGAGACTTCCAGGAACAGACTTCCAGGCAGAGGGAACAGCCTGCACTAAGGTGCAGAAATGGGAGCCTACGTGGAGTATTTGTGGACCATCACGGAGGCCAAAATAGCTGAAGCAGACTGAATGAGAAATGTGGAGTATACTTACATTTATAAAGCAAATATATTTCACAAAGTCTAGTTCCCTGTAGTTTCAGGCTTAGCCTAACTTCTTAAAAGTACATGTAAAGGGGCCGGACGGGGGGCGCACTGCTACAGTGCGCCGCTTGGGAGCACGGTGGCGCTCCCCCCAAGGGTTCGGATCCCACATACGGACTGGTTCCCGCTCACTGGCTGAGCGAAGTGTGGGAGCAACACCGAGGGTTGCGATCCCGTTGCCGGTCCCGGTCCGGTACGGGCGCGACACTGAGGGTTGCGATCCGTTGCCGGACACGAAAAAAGACAAAAAGGAAAAAAAAAAAAAAAGTACATGTAAAATGTTACCCTTGCAAAAGACAGGAAACTTTCCCCAGGCTAAAAGTCTCTGTTTAAGATAAAGAATTGTAACAAAGCAAGGTTGCTGGCTCAAGGACAGACAAGTTACTTATTGATATGTAAAGATACTGTGAAATTGCTGTAGGGAAAAACAGTGTTTGCTAAGATCAAGCTTGTTGGTGGATGACTTAACCTTTCGCAAATTGCAGTATGGAATGTCACTTTGCTTGTCACCAGCCTCTGTTGTTAAACTATTACCCTACCTATGTTCTTTTTCTGCAACTTCCTGGTCTGGAAAATAAATGTGGGGAGAGAACCCCAATTCATGGTTAATTTCCCAAGGAAGGAGGAATGCCATGCTCTTGAGTGTTCCAGGAGATTAACCCCCTCGGGTCTCTTGCTGCTCAGAAGAGATGGGCTTTGAGTAATCCTTTAGTGGCTCCATCACCCAGGGGAAGAGAGGTGACAAATCTGTGTGAGGCAAAGCAACAGAGAAGGAGAGTAGTAGGAGATGAGACAGAGTGACATGAAGGGCCAGGTAATGTGGGGCCTTACAGGTGATTGTAAGGACTTGGGCTTTCACTTGAGTGAAATGGGGAGCCGTGGAAAGGTTTTGAGCAGGAGAGTGCTGTGAACTGATTTGTAGTTAACTGGGATGACTCCAAACTTCCTGGTCTGGAAAATAAATGTGGGGAGAGAACCCCAATTCATGGTTAATTTCCCAAGGAAGGAGGAATGCCATGCTCTTGAGTGTTCCAGGAGATTAACCCCCTCGGGTCTCTTGCTGCTCAGAAGAGATGGGCTTTGAGTAATCCTTTAGTGGCTCCATCACCCAGGGGAAGAGAGGTGACAAATCTGTGTGAGGCAAAGCAACAGAGAAGGAGAGTAGTAGGAGATGAGACAGAGTGACATGAAGGGCCAGGTAATGTGGGGCCTCACAGGTGATTGTAAGGACTTGGGCTTTCACTTGAGTGAAATGGGGAGCCGTGGAAAGGTTTTGAGCAGGAGACTGCTGTGAACTGATTTGTAGTTAACTGGGATGACTCCAGCTGCCGTGGAAGAGAGACCAAAAGTTAGTAGAGAACCTATAGGAAGCTCTTGAAGTCATCCAGACAAAGATGAAAGTGGCTTGGGCAAGGGCAGTGACAGTGGCTGTGGCGAAAAGTGGTCAGGTTTCAGATGTATTTTGAAAGCCCCAGAATTTCCTAACAGATTAGATATGGGATACAAGAGAAAGAAGTTCCAAGTTTTTGTCCTGAAGGGTGGAAGTTGCCACAAACTGAAATGGAGAAGACCATGATCAGAACAAGTTAGAAGAAAGACAGTCTGGAGCATGTTGACTTTCAAAACCTTGATAAAAATAGAACAAACTCTAATCCTGAAATTTGGTACATTTGTGGAAAGCAAGAATTCTTTTTGGCAACCTGCAGTTCATAAGGGAACTATTTTGCACCAAAAACCCTATATTGCATTCTACTGATTTTCATTGTTTTCTTGCATACAAAGAAATCCCCCAAACAGCCTAAGATATCATGATCCCCCATCATCCAGAAAGAGAATTCTGGATATCAGTCACTAAACCTCCAGTTCTCAACAAAAAATGTCTCATTACCACCTGAAAACTGATCACACACAGTAGTAAATTATATGTAGTATGACATTGGCAGTCCTGGCCTATTAATAAAATGATTCCAATGGAAATGGGAGCAAGCAGAGAAGAACTGGAATTGGTCCAGCTCTACTGTCTGTTTTCACAAATGCCCTGCCCAAGGAAAGGGAGGGGAATGGACAGAAGCTGGTAAAACTCACTTCCTGAAACTCACTTCCAGCCAATTGAGAATTCCCAGCTGCCAAGTAGCAGGTATGTTTATGTCAAGGGCAAGGGCAGGTGTGTGTGTGTGTGTTAATCATAGAAGGGTGAAACCAGAGAAACCTTGTCTGTGCTTTGGTTTCTTGCCCTCAAATTCTGGAGCGCACACACGTGGCTCTCAAGCAGATTGCTTCCTTGCAAGTTTCACTTTTCTTCACTCCCGTCCTCACCTGCTTATTCTCCCAAGAGCCTGTACTTGGTTCTTCCACACTATAATTCTATATTCACCTCCAAGAAGGATAAGTCAAATTCCCACAAGCTTGGTGGGGAGAAGCTGACTTCTCTTTTGGACCTCACCTCACCCCTAGGCACAGTACAATTATTAACCATTGGGCGTGAGTTCAAATGTTTAAGTTCCCAGCTTCCTCCCTGTTACTCTCTGTTTTCATCCGTTTTGTGTTGCTATAACAGAAATACCTGAGACTGCGTAATTTATAAAGGAAAGAGGTTTATTTGGCTTACAATTCTGGGACAGCTACATCTGGCATGGGCCTCAGACTGCTTCTATTCATGGTGGAAAAGCAGCAGGGAGCAGGCGGGTACAAGCAGATCACATGGCAAGAGAGAGACAGAGAGACAGAGAGGAGATGCCAGGGTCCTTTAAACAATCAGCTCTCGCAGGAACTAATAGAGTGAGAACTCACTCACCACCCCTCTTCCCCCAGGGAGACCATTAATCCATTCATGAGGGATCCACCCCCATGACTCAATCAGTTTCCAACACTGGTACACTAGAGATCAAATTTCCACATAAGTTTTGGAGGGGACAACACATCCAAACTCCATCATGAGGTGACACTCAAGAGCGGGTCATTTTGCTTCTTGTTAGCAGCTCTGACAAGTATCCTAAACCAAAATAGACTGCCCAAGGACAGACGCTGTGAATCTCTGGGCTCCTTCCCTTCTTCCCAATAACTAAGAGCTTGCTCTGCAAGCTACAAAAGGGAAGTAAGAGAGGACAGGGAAGTTACATACACATGAAAAATGCTGCTTGTCCCTTCATGAGGTGGTGAGAGAACAGAGGTGTGTGGGACTGGTCTGCTCAGGCCAGCTGGCTTGGGAGAGCCATTAGTGATCAGAAGGGGGCTCTTGGGACAGTGGTCTCTGCTATACTGCATGGCCCCAAACAATACCCTTTTAGCCAACCTTTCTTACTTTCCCAATCTCAGTTGTCTCTGTATTTCATCCCTATTGGGAGTTGCTTGTCTGCACACAATATTCTATTTTCTTCCTAAAAAAATGCTATAGTCTAGGGAGGTCCGAATAGCAGATACTCCTTTGGGCACAAGGTCCTCTTATGTTTGTGTAAAGAGCAGTCATATTGCCCTATAGTCACCGTTCAAATTTATATAGCCTCTAGCATGGTGCTTCGTATATAATACACATAAGTATTTTTAATAAATTAGTGAAGAAATTACTAGACGCCTAATCTCTGGGAGTAATACGTCAAATGTCTATTTTATAAATTTTATTTTTAATTGTGAAATATTTCAAAACTATGGAAAAGTAAAGAAAATTAAATAATTAACACTGTATATCCAACACCCAGTTTTTTTTTTATTGATCAGTAAAACATTTTTATTTTTATTTTTATTCTTTTTCTTTTTTTATTGTAAATGTTTGTGGGGTATAGTTTGTTGTTTTAATACATGCACATATTGTATAATGATCTAATCAGAGTAGTTAGCATATCTATCACTAAACATTTCTCATTTCTTTGTGGTTATATCCAAGATCCTCTTTTCTGGCTCTCTTGAAATACACAATGCAGTATTACTAGCTATTGTCACCCTAGAACCCCAGAACTTATTCTTCCTCTCTAATTGTAACATTGTAACTTTGTACCAGTCCACCAACCTTTCCACAGCCTCCCCTCTCCACTCCCTTTCTCTGTCTCTGGTAACCACTATTCTTCTTCTATTTCTGTTTTTAATTTATTTTTCTTAATTGACCCATGAGAACTGTATATATTTATGGAGTACAGTATGACATTTGGGTACATTCATACTGTGTGTAATGATCATATCTGGGTGCTTGGCATATCCGTCACCTCAGTCGTTTGTCACTTCTTTGTGTTAGAACATTCAACATCATCTTGACTAGCTA